TCCTGAAAGTCTTGGAGGGCCCCACCCGTAACACTCCCCAACAGGCATGGCTAGGACACACATAGGAGCCTGGGTGAGAAGTTCAGGCTACTAGGCTTTAATCAGAATTGTCTGTAAGAGATGAACTCAACATGCCCCTGGTTGTTATTTCTCTCCAGCCTTTGGCAGGAATATTAGAAGTATCACAGGAAACTAGTCATTAAATCAGCACAAGAGACTTCATGACCAGTCTGAAGTCTGGCAGTTTAGATGTCAAATAGGAATCTAAACTACAAGGAAGGAGAGAGTCCTATTGTTTTCCTATACATCTGTAGGCAGAGGGCCGCTGGGTGTCTCCCCAGGCTTCTGTTTCAGCATGAGTTAAAGGTCCCTGTGGGTCTGGGCCTGGGCACCTCCCAGCCACCCTGCAGTACTCAGGGCGCATAGGCCACTTAACATCCCTCCCGGCACACAGTTGCCTGGCGTTTCTCTGGTCCCTCTTCCCGGTCCCTCCATTCCTGCACTCCTGGCCGTCCTCCCAGGCCCTGGGCATCCCTCTCTGGCTCTTTCCCCTGTGTGCTCAGGCAGTCCGTGCACAGCTCGATTTTCTGCTGACCACCGCCTTACTTCCATTATGGTCTGCTGACCATGCAAGGGACTTTCTACCAGTTTCCAAGTGCTCAATAGTGGGGACGGCATCTTAGTCAGTGTTGTATCGTGGGTGCTTTGTGTCACATGGCCTTGAACTGAGCAGGACTTCGAGAAACATTTGTTAAATTGAACTGGAACCTGGAAAAAAACAGCCTGTCAGTTCTCAAATTACTTTATTGCATCTTCATGTTAGAGAAGACTATGTGGTGATAAATTCTTCACCTTCTCCTCAAAATAACCTAAATCACCCTCCTTCTTAGCTAGACATTTTAAAAGGATGTCCGTGTCTTTCCTAATACTGCCCTCATGAACTGCTCAATCCAAAAAATGTTTCTAGGCTTTATCACTTACTCTTTCTTAAAGATTTGATTCAGCTACCCAATTACTGTCTCCTTTTTTCAAAGCTCATTCTGTTACAGGCCACCGGCTCTGAGGCTCCCCATGTAATATGGGAGTTCACACAGGGCCAGGCTAGGCTTTTATTTCAAGGCTTGTGCTTGAGCACAAGGGAGACAGCAGAGGCCCAAGGATCTTCCAGTTAGTTCCCCAAAAAGAGCTGGGAGGGATTTTTTTATTAGGCAGAGAATTGACATCGGAAGAGGTATGTGGGCTGGGCTGGGCAAAGCCCATGATGATGGGTAGGGGATGGGTAGGTCACGATCATGATGGTTATCTTGAGTGATGGGCCACCTTGAGGTCTGGCTGGAGGCAACAAGGCTGTACGTTAGTTGTTCAGCATTCCTTTCTGAGGTGGGACACTGCAACCTTGGTTCAGTGTTTGGTTTCCTAAGGCCAGTTCCTGGAATTCTTTAAGCAAAAGGCAGGGTAAGACTTTATAAGAGTGCAGAAGAATGGCCTTTTTTTTTTTTTTTTTCTTTTGTACGACTAAAGCCTCAGGGTTAGCAGGTATGGTGTCAGCAAAGTAGTAGCATGGGTTTTGAGAAGAGAAGAAGAAAAAAATGAAAAAAATATGTGAAGGAGTAGCCTCTCACCACTCCCATTCTATCTCAATTCCAGGTTCCTAGGACACCATCTTCAGCTAGTTATTGTCAACTCCTACATCTCTGACTGTGCCTTCCCTGAACCTGGCTCCCTTCCTTGGCCCGTGCCTTAACCACTGGAATTCTCCAGAGTTCTGAATTTCCCCTGGATGATTGGCTTTAATTATTATGTATCTTCTGTGTGTGTCATCCATATGTGGATCATTCCCAAGTGGGTCTGAATGTGACAGGGCCCCTAAAATTTAACATAACCAAACATGAGCTCACGATCTCCCCCATATTCTAACTCCCTGTCGACTTCCCTATTTCCTTGTTTTCTGTGTTTAACGGCATGTTCAGGAAGGTCTGAAATCTGGGAGTCATCTTCTGTTTCTGCCTCTCTGCAGCTTCCACATCAACCAATGGCCGAGTCTCCGTCTTCATCCCACTCTCACTCCCTTTCTGCATCTCTCTGCCATCTCTCCCCTGGACTATTGGAACCGTCTTCTAATTGTTTCTCTTTAGCTCCTTCTCCATCCTGCTGCCAGTTACATTTCTAACATGCAAATCTATGTTACGTTCCTGTCTAAATCCTTCAGTAGCTCCTCATTGCACCGGATTGCTCCTAACATCTTCATTTGAATCCTTTGTGATCTAGCCCCTGTCTGCTTCTCCAGGCTTATCCCTCGATAATGGTTTGAATGTCTGTCCCCTCCAAATCTCACATTGGAATATAATTCCCAGTGTTGAAGTTGGGGCCTGGTGGGAGGTGTTGGCTCATGGAGGCAGATCCCTTATGAAAGATTTAGTGTCATCTTCCTGGTGTGGAATTCTCCCTCAGTTAGTTCACGTGAGATCTAGTTATTTAAAAGAGCCTGGAACCTTCCCTTTTCTATCTCTCCCCCCTGCTCTCACCGTGTGGTACGCACGCTCCCTCTTCACCTTCTGCTGTAAGATTCCTGAGGCTTCACCAGAAGCAGAGGCCAACACTGTGCTGCTTGTACAACCTGCAGAACCATGACCCAAATTAAACTTCTTTTCTTTATAAATTAACCCAGTCTCAGGTATTCATTAATAGTAGTGAAAACAGACTATCACCCCTTTTCATGTATTTGCAATTCCTAGATTATAACCTGTTATTTTGTGCCTTTTCTTTTGCCTATAATTCTCCTTGCCTAGGCAGCAAATTTCTCTTAATCTATCATACGTATGCTCCAATATTACCTCCTCTGGGAGGTGTTGTCCCTATGCTCTCAGAAAGTGAGTAGCTTCTTCTCTTTTTAATCATGTGTCTATCCCACATGGGACCATGAGATTATCAAGGACAGAGACCATATCTTTTTAAATACTGTATTCCCAGCACCTAACCTATTCCTGGTACACGGCGCACAGTCGGATGAACGAATCTTGGCTTCTTCTCTCCTTGTTGACTTTCCCATTAGAACCTCAAGTTTCACTCTTAAAATGAGACTACGGACTATTTCCCATATGCTAACATACTAGCCCTTCTCAAGGATTCTGAAGACAACAGTAAAAATTAACAGGTTGTGGCAGCAGTATTATTGTCTTCCGGAAGGGTCAAAGTGCTGTGTCTAGGTTAACACATGAATCCAGTTTGCTCAAAACATGAAGAGGACAGGCTTCATCATGTGCTATGGGTTTTATCTTCCCATGGAGAAAATAGAGAGGGGATAGAAATAACCATTTATTGAACAGCCTGTTCTGGGTGCATGACATAAGCTCTCATTTCCCAGGCCCTCCTAAAATTTTTCTTAAGTAGACAGGAGCAGATAAATCACTGGGCAGAAAGAAGTTCTAGCTTGGCTGCTCACTAATAGTTGGCTGCCTTGAGCATATGGTCCCCTCAGAGACTTTATCTTCCTATCTGAAAATAAAAGCATCAGTCCAAGTGGTCCCTAGCGTTGTCCAGGATCTAATGTTTCCTTAGCAAACATTTACTGAATGCATTGGCTCTGAGCCAGGGCCTGTACCAGGCATTAAGAATGCAAATAAGATGCAACTCATATCCTGTCATACTCAGTGGTGGAGAATACTTCTGCTATTCTGACTATCCAAGGTCTATTGTAACTACTTAAAGTCAATCACTGATTGGACCTATATAAACAAAGCATGCTCAGTTCAAAAAGAAAAGCCTACCGAGCCTATCATGTATAAAACTTCCTTCTAGGATTTATGGGAATTAGAAGAAGAATAAATTATGGTCCTTGTTTCAATCAAGGCTCTAATCCAATGGAGGACGCACTATTCATGCTGCAAATACGTTCTATAATTGAAATTTTCATCCATGCAGGAACAGTTTTGCAAGCAACCAGTATTAGACCAACTCAGATTATCTGAGGGATTTTATATTACTTATGATTAAGTTAAAGGGAAGCAAATACTCGGGCTAACTATTTGTCCTAAATGCAGATTGGCTTCACTCAAACGAGAATTTTGCAGTGGTTTTGATAAAGTGTGATGAATGCTTTCACTGTGACATATTCTTTTACTTGAGGCAGCCAGATCTTAAAAAGGTGTTTATATCTGTCAGGGATATGTTTCATCCAATTTGTATTCTTACAGAATCTAGCCATTGTTTATTTTACCTGTGTAAGCTAAATCATAGGCCATGCTGGTAATATGTACCTAGTTTCAGACAACCATAGACTATTTTCCCCTTTGGCTTATGGCAGGATTCAGAAGGAAGATTTGGATGGTTGTTTGAAATCTACCTAAAATGTCTAAGATGTCTTCAATGATGATGACTTTGTGAGTAGGAATGGCAACTAATGAGCAAGTAGACCAAGAACAGAAGACATACAGATAATTTTACATCAGTAATTTCAAAGTCCAAAAAATGAAATTGTTTTAAATGAATAAAAAAGACTTCATTTTTTAAAATTGACTTTGTTTCTTAGAGAAGTTTTAGGTTCACAACAAAACTGAGCGGAAACTACAGAGTTTTCATATATAGCCTGTTCCCACACACGCACAGCCCCCCATCCACTCACTATCAACATGCCCCGCCAGACTGGTACATTTTCTAGGATTGATGAACCTACATGGACATATCATTATCACCCAAATTCTCCATAGTACACATTAGGGTTCACAGTTAGTGTTACATATTCTGTGCTTTTGACAAATGCATCCACTGTTGTAGTATCATAGCGAGTACCTGCATTGCCCTAAAATCCTCTGTGTCCCACCTTTCCACTCCTCCTCTCTCCAACCCCTGGCAACCCCTGAGCTTTTCGCTATCTCCATAGTTTTACCTCTTCTCGAATGCCATATAGTTGAAACTATAAAGGATGTAGCCTTCTCATGTTGGCTTCTTTCACTTAGTAATATGCACTTAAGTTTCTTCTATGTCTTTTCATGGCTTGACAGCTCACGTCTTTTTACTGATGAAGAACATTCTGTTGCCCGCACGGACCACAGTTTATCCATTCACCTGACATCTCGGTTGTTTTCAAGTTTTGAAAATTATGAAAAAGCTACTGTAAACACCTATGTGCAGGCTTTCATGTGGATGTAAGTTTTCCATTCATTTGAGTAAATGCCTAGAAGTGCAATTGCTTGAGTATGTGATAAAAGTGTGTTTGGCAGTAAGAAGCTGCCCACTGTCTTCCAAAGTGGCCACACCATTTTTCATTCCCACCAGCAATGAATGAGAGTTTCTGTTGCTCCACATTCCCACCAGCATTTAGTGTTGTCAGTGTTTTAGATTTTTACCTTAGATATGTGATAGTATCTCATGGTTGTTTTAACTTGCAGTACCCTAATGACATGTGATGTTGAGCACCCTTTTAAAGGCTTGTTTGCCATATGTTCATCTCCTTTAGCGAGGTTTCTGTTCAGATGTTTTGCTCATTTTTTAATTGGGCTGTTTGTTTCCTTATTGTTGAGTTTTAAGGGTTCTTCATAATTTTAGCTAACAGTCCTTTATCAGAGATATCTTTTGCAAATATGCTTTCCCCATATATAGCTTGTCTTCTCTTTATCTTGAAAGTATCTTTCTCTGACCAGAAGTATTGAATTTTAATGAAGTCTGGTTTATCAATTATTTCTTTCATGGACCATGCCTGTGGTGTTGAATCTAAAAGGTCATCACTTTATTCAAAGCCATCTAGATTTTCTCCTATGTTATCTTTTTGGAATTGTATAGGTTTGTGTTTACACTTAGGTCTATGATTCATTTTGAATTAGTTTTTGTGGCGGTATAAGGTCTGTGTCTAGACTAATTTTTTTTGTATGTGAATATCCACTTGTTGCAACACCATTTGTTGAAGGACTATCTTTTATCCATTGTATTGCCTTGGCTCCTTTATAAATGTAAGTTGACTCTATTTGTGTGAGTCTGTTTTGGGTTCCTCATTCTGTTCCATTTATCTCTTTGTCTATTCTTTCACCAATATCACACTATCGTGATTACTGTGGCATCACGGGAAGTCTTGAATTTGGATACTGTTAGTCCTCTAGTTTTGCTCCTTCATTATTATGTTGGTGATTCTGAGTCTTTTGCTCGTTTATATAAACTTTAGAATAATTTGCTGATATCCACTGTCTTGGTTTTTTGTTTATTTGTTTGTTTAAAACTGGACATTTTAAGTATGGTAATATGGTACCTCTTGAAATCAGATCTACTCTTCCCAGGGTTGTTATTATTGCTATCTGTTTAATGAATATCCTGAATTAATTCTCTAAAGTCTGTATCCCTTGTTGTATCCACTGAAGTATCTACTCAGTTAATTTAGTAATCAGCAAATGATTGGACAGAGATTTTCTTAGATACCTTCAACAAATCCGTCTCCCAGTCTTTGCTGAGGGGCTTTTTGTGCATGTTACAATCTGACTTCAATGCTCCAGCAGGGAACTGATAGCTCTGCTTTAGCCTTGATTTCCTGCTTGTGCAGATCATCAAGGTCAGCTAAAGGTGGAAGATTAGGACCAGATCAGGTCTTTCCTGGGTATACACACAGTTCTGCACATGTACTTGACCTTCTAGATTCCTAGGAATACATTGGAGCTTTTCTGAGTCCCCTATGGACATCTCATTCTCCCAGCTATTCTTTTTAAACTTTTTGGTTAGCATCTTGTTTGGCTCAACTGTTATTATCATTTCAGGCAACTGCCATGTTCACTAGTTACTACAGACTGTCTTTGACAAACACCCTGGGTATAAGCTAGTTTTAGGGATGATTTGAGTCAGGTTAAATAAAGATAAGCCCTATGAATGGGTATTTTCAGGGAATTCCCAGACAGCTCAGATAATGACAATTTTTTGGTAATGGAGTTTTGGGGAAGCTCAAACCCGTTCTTTCCTCTCCAGTGGCTGCAAGGCTACTAGTTTTCACAGCTACTCTGATGGTGATGCTGTTGATTTTCAAAGCTCCAGAACAGCTGGGGAAAAGGGCATAGGAATAGAGTGAGTTGGAATGTCACAAAGCTCACTGTCCTTACATATGTTTAACCATTTTTCTTAAATAGACACTTAGTGTTACTTAGTTTATTGAAAGCCCATTTCAATTTACAGCTTTCTTAAAAAGTTGATTTTGGCAATATTTGCCAGTACTCTTATTGATTTTATGAAGAAGCAGTAGTTTGGAGGTTTTTACTTAATCTTTTTCACTGATGTCACTCACTTGCATTTTTTATTCACCTTTATTTATATATAATTTATATTCCAAGAAATCACCAAAGTATACAATTTGATTAATTTTTTCAAATGTATAGTTATGTAACTATCACCACAATCATGACATAAAACTTTTTTTTTTTCAGCTACAGGGTCCTACTGTGTCACTCAGGCTGAGTACAGTGTCACGGTCTCAGCTCACTGCAGCCTTGATCTCCTAGGCTCAAGCGATTCTCTTACTCAACCTCCCATGTAGCTAGGACTACAAGCACGTGCCACTCCACACCCAGCTATTTTTTTTTTTTTTTTTTTTTTTTTTTTTGAGATAGAGTTTCGCTCTGTCGCCCAGGGTGGAGTGCAATGGCGCGATCTCAGCTCACTGCAACCTCCACCTCCCAGGTTCAAGCAATTCTTCTGCCTCAGCCTCTTGAGTAGCTGGGATTACAGTCATGTGCCACCACACCTGACTGATTTTGTATTTTTAGTAGAGATGGGATTTCACCATGTTGGTCAGGGTAGTCTCGAACTCCTGACCTCAGGTGATCTGCCCGCCTCGGCCCCCCAAAGTGCTGGGATTACAGGTGTGAGCCATCGCGCCTGGCTTAATTTTTATATATTTTTTTTGTAGGGACAGGGCCTCTCTATGTTGCCCAGGCTGGTCTCGAACTCCTGGGCTCAAGCAATCTGCCCACCTTGGCCTCCCAAAGTTCTGGGATGACAGGCATGAGCCACCATGCCCAGCCATGACACAACATTTTTGTGACCTCAAAAAGTCCCCCAGTGCTGGCAGTGGCAACCACTCGTCTGTTTTCTGTCACAGTTTTGTCTTGCCTGAAATTTTTTTGATGAGTGGAATCCCGTAGTGTGTGCTCTTTGTGTCCGTGTTCTTTTACTTAGCATAATGACTCTGAGATTCATGCGTAGTGTTGTGTATCAATAGTTAGTGCTTGAATTGTTGAGTATTCCATTGTATGGATATACCACAATTTTTATATACATTTACCAGCTGGTGGACATTTGGGCCATTTCTACTTTGTGGCTATCTTATGATTAAAGCTGCTATGAACATTCAAATGCAAGCCTTTTTACAGCTCGCTCGCTCTCTCTCTCTCTCTCTCTCTCTCTCTCTCTCTCTATATATATATATATATATATATATATATATATATATGGTATAAATCTTTTTGTGGACATGTGATTTCTTTTATCTTGTATAAGTAGCTAAGAGTGGAATTGCTAGATCAAGTACTAAAAATATACCTAATTTTATAAGAGACTGCCAAACTGTTTTCCAAAGAGACTGTACCCTTTGGAAGTTTCAGTAGTTCTGAATCCTTGCTAATACTTAATGTTGTCAGCGTTTTTACTTTAGGCATTCTGTTGTGTAGTGGTGTCTCGTTATGATTTTAATTTGCATTTCTTTCATGACTAATGATATTGAACATCTTTTCATGTGCATATTTGTCACTTGTATGTCTTCTTTTAGAAGTATCTGTTCGAATATTCTGCCCTTTTGAAAAATCAGGTTGTTTGACTTGTTACTGAGTTTCAGAGTTCTTTAGGTGTTCTGTATATGATTCCTTTATGAAATACATGTTTTGCAACTACTTTCTCCAAGTAGAGAAGGAATTTGAAAGATACAGGCAAACATCTGAGTTTAGGGGCAATAAAAGGACCCAGAACTACAAAGTCAAATCTACTTGGAGTCTTCAGCTTTAGAAAATAATAAATAAACTTCCTGCATGTGTTAGAAAGTATAAAGCATATTCGAGTCTGTGGTATATAGAAGATGATTCCTTTGATGTCTTTTGTGTATGTCATAGATCAAAAGCTTTTCCACAGAAAAGCAGAATGGAGTGTTTTGTTTGTGCTTCCAAACCATAATGGAAGAACAAGTTCACTAGATAAGTTCATTTTGTAAGTAACAGGCAATCCTTCCCTAAACAAACCTGTTACAGAGCCGCCAAATGTGCAATATCAACCTTTTTTTTTTTCACTTCACACCCGCTCTTAGGTAGACATGATAACACATGTGGAATGGACCAAAGAGACAGGCTGAGAACCTGCCAAAGATGGTCTCAGACGAGATGATCAGCTTCTAACTCAGCATTGCCTGGTATATCTGACACTAATGAATGTGTAGTCAAAGAGTACATAGGAGATGGTTGAAAATGAGGAGAGTCATTAAACATATTTCAGCCAGTGAGCGATGTGAGAAAAAGTTGAGAAATAGAACTGGCTTCAATGTAAAGCTTTAGAAGTGGTAGTGAAACCAGGTAGGAGGCTGATGCCTGACTCTCAGTAAACAACGAAAAGAGACTGAATTAGGGCCAAAGGAGAGGCAAGACTTCAAAGACATCATAGAGGTGTAGTTGACAGGATTTGGTGACCAATGAATATAGATTATGAAGGAGTAGAGCCTCAAGATGACATTATTTTCTAGTTTGGGTGGCCCATTGGTGATGCTCTTAGTCAAGACAAGACGGTAAGTAGGAGAAACAGGTTTTGAAAAGAATGCAAAATGTGACTCTGGGCCTCAGATGAGATGCCTGGGCTGGAGACAGAAGACTGGGATCATTTGAGTCTAATTTATGTTAAGATTCTTCAGTAAGGCCATGGAGAGTAAAAAAGGATGGACCTCAGTCTGAATTCTAACAAAAACAATTAATAGGTAAGGGGCAAGTACTGGTTGGTGGCAGGAAGGAGTTAGTGTCCAGAGAGATGACATAATTCATAATCTTGAATGTCAAGGATGAAAAGAATTTCAAGGAATGATGGGTACTAATTAGTGACGATTGCTATTAATAGGTCTTTGCTAGAAAGAAGCCATTGAATTTCATGGTTAGCAATTCATTGGTCAAAACTGGAAACAAGCCTGGCATGGTGGCTCACGCCTGTAATCCCAGCACTTTGGGAGGCCAAGGCAGGTGGATCACGAGGTCAGGAGATCTAGACCATTCTGGCCAACATGGTGAAACCCAATCTCTATTAAATATACAAAAATTAGCTGGTGTGGTGGTATGCACCTGTAGTCCCAGCTACTCAGGAGGCTGAGGCAGGAGAATTGCTTGAGCCTGGGAGGCAGAGGTTGCAGTGAGCTGAGATCACACCACTGCACTCCAGCCTGGTCAACAGAGTGAGACTCCGTCTCAAAAAAGAAAAACAAAAAACAAAGAAACAACTGGAACAGCCCAAATGTCCATCAACAAGAGAATAGTTAACCCAATTGTGTATGTTCATACCATGGAATACTACTCAGCAACTAAGCTGAATGGTTTATGCAAAACGTGAGTCAATCTCACAAACATTGTGTTGAATGAAAAAACAGCCACTCAAAAAATACATGCTATATTATTCTACTTATACAATAACCAAGAAGAAGCAAAACTGATCTATGGATAATAGAAGTCAGAAAGAGGGGCTGGGCACAGGGGCTCATGCCTATAATTCCAAGTGCTTTGGGAGATTGAGGCAGGAGGATCACTTGAGGCCAGGAGTTTGAGACCAGCCTAGGCAACATAGCATGACCCTGTCTCTACAAAAACATATATATATATATATAAATTAGAAGGGCATGGTAGCAGGCACCTGTAGTCCTAGCTACTCAGGAAGCTCAGGCAGGAGTTTCCCTTGAGCCCAGGAGTTTGAGGCTGCAGTGAGCTATGATCATGCCAGTGCACTCCAACCTGGGCAACAGAGTGAGATCCTACTCTAAAAAAGAAAGAAGTAGAGAGACAGAAAGAAAGTGTGAAAAAGATAAGGAAGGGGAGGCAGAAAAGAAAGGAAGAAAAAGAAAAAGAAAGAGAAAGGAAGGAAGGAAGGAGAGAAAGAGAAAAAAAAGGAAGGAAGGGAAGGAAGAAAGGAAGGAAAGAAGAAAAAGATTATTAAAAGAATATATATCTAATTGCCTATATTTTCTCACTGGCAATGGTGGCTATGTCATCTGTTGAGATACTGAGTCTTTTTGGTGATCTGAGATTGGGATCGACCAGAGGAGAAAAAAATGAAAGAAATGCTGGGTAACATCTTCTAGAGTCCAGCTGAGGGTGAAAATCAAAATGTATTTATTAGCACAGGCTTCCATGATGGAACACCTTGACCGCGTGGCTTAAACAACAGAAATGTATTTTCTCATGGTTCTGGAGGCTGAAAAGTTCAAGATCAAGGTACTGGCAGGGTTTGGCTCCTGGTAAGGGTCCTGTGACCTGTACATGTCTGCCTTCTCACTGTGTCCTCACATGCACAGAGAGAGAGGGAGCTCTCTGGTATCTCTTCTTATAAGGACACTAATCCTCTGGGATCAGAGCTCCTCCCTGGTGACCTCCTATACCCTTAATCACTTCTTTACCCCAAATCAATCACGTTGGGGATTCACATATGTGAATGGAGGGCTTCAACATATATGTTTTGGAGCGGCATAGTTAGCCTATGGCATGTGTATGTGAGATATTTTCCACCTATACCCAACCACCTGAGATCAGGAGAGAAGACACATGGTTGGGTTGATCCATATTTGGAGGTTAACAGGATAGACTTGATGCAAGGTCAAGGTGGCAAACGATTTGAGGGGATAGTGAAAGTATGGCTAAAATTATTGGCCATGGATTCCAGTAACAGTGGAAAGAGAAGCCAGAAAAGGGCTGGGTTTAGATTAGGGAAAAGGCAGGGATTGGTAGGCTTGGTGGTAGAGTCCTCGCAGGTCAGGAGGCTGGAGCACACATGGGAACTATTTTAGAGCATGTCTTCTGTGGGTGCAGTACTGTCGTGGAACATAATTGGTTGTTCCTGCAATTTCAACTTTACTGGAAATAAAGGAGGCTTATCAAACTGGAGAGATTTAAATTCATTAGTGAAAGTAATCATCACATTTTTCTTTCATTTTAGAAGACTAAATACGTTGAACAAGTGTGCCTCAATGAAACTTGATGTGAACTTCCAAAGGAAAAAGGTAGGTGCCCACACCTTAATGTGGCTATGCCAGTGAATACCAGGAGTTTGAGACCAATCTGAGCAACATAGTGAGACCCCTGTGTCTACAAAAAAAAGATAATAATAAATTAGCTGGGCACAGTGGCTTGTGCCTGTAGTCCCAGCTATCGAGAGGCTGAGTTGGGGGCATTGCTTGAACCCAGAAGGTTGAGGCTGCAGTGAGCCATGATCATGCCACTGCACTTCAGCCTGGGTGACAGAGTGAGACCGTGTCTCCAAAAACTAAAAAGCAACACGAACCTAAGCAAAATTTTGAAATGCCTGACCATCCATGTGTATTCTCCATATCCCATTTCATCATAACCACCTAAATAAGTCTATTATAAACTAAGGCTGAAATCTATTTGTTTTACTGTTTCATTTTCATTAGAGGGTTTGCGTAAAGATGTAAAATATCCCAATGCTTTTTGGTGATCTTTCAGAAATGTCCATTGTAAATGTCAACCCCTTATTAGACTCAAATGCTTCACAGCAATGAGTAGATTAAAAGTTCAGAAAGGATCTAGGGGTCCATGGCCACTGACTTCTGGCTCATTTTTTCCAGTCGTGTTTTATTTCATGCACGTGTCAAGATGCCTCCACTGTCAGGCAGATTCAGCTGGTAATGTATGAGGGGGCCTGGGGGCAGTGTGACAAGATCCTGAGCCCTGGCTCATCTTTCATGGTTCTTCCCACCGTGCACTTTTCTCTAGCCACAAAGAATTCGGTTCAGTTCGAAAAGTCACTAAGCTTCCTCCCCATCACAAGACTTGCCATGTGCTGCTTCCTCTTTATGGATAAGACTAGAGATTTGAGTCTTGAAATAAAGCTGTACTTTATTGAATATGTACTGTTTTCTAGGAGCTAGATTATGTACTTACCACACATTATCTCATTTAATCCATCGAGATGGGGCTTCTCTGTTTTCTACATTAGGAAGGTAAATCTTGAACAGGCTGGGTCATTGCCCACGGTCTTGCAGCTAGCGGCGGAGCAGGGTTTCTACCTCGGGGATGTCTGACTCCAAAACCAAGGCTCCTAGCCACCGTGCTGTACAGCCTCTCTTTTTCACTGAATTGATTCTTTTCAGGAAATTCAGAATTAGGATCCTTCACTACTTCTTTCATTTAACATCTCCTCTCTGTAGCAACTCAAGCCTCCGTATATTTTGAAGGATCAGAGAAAACATCTTTGAATTAAAAGAAAGTGTTCTTGGCCAGTTGTGGTGGCTCACACCTGTAATCCCAGCACTTTGGGAGGCCAAGGCGGGTGGATCATCTGAGGTCAGGAGTTCGAGACCAGCCTGACCAACATGGTGAAACACCGTCTCTACTAAAAATACAAAATTAGCTGGGTGTGGTGGCACGTGCTTGTAGTCCCTGCTACTTGGGAGGCTGAGGCAGGAGAATCACTGGAACCTGCAAAGTGGAGGTTGCAGTGAGGTGAGAACATGCCACTGCACTCCAGCCTGGGCAACAGACAGAGACTCCGTCTCAAAAAAAAAAAAAAGAAAGAGAGAAAGAAAGAAGTTTTTATCCTGCTCTACCCAGAGAAATCATTAAAGCCAAAGGATTTTAAGTTACTCCTTAGTAACCTAATCTTTAAAAATAACTTTAATCTGAATTTGTGCTCTAAAATAACACACACACAAAAAAATCAAATGAATTTTAGTGGACCTCACCTTAAAAACAATTTGGGATTTGAGCTGGGAACCAAAGATTTAAGCTAAGGAGGTAAAACAGTGAAAAACAATACCCAGAGAAATATTAAAATATGAGCAGTTTGTCCAGGCCAAAGACAAATTAAAAATGTGGGAATAAACCTCCCAACAGCTGTCTGACTGAATAGACCCCTTGAGAAGCATACATACTATTTGAAGCATGAGGGTCAGATGTTGTTTGGATTGGAACACATGGTTCCTATTAAACTGAACACAGCCATGCCTGTGTGTCTAAAGTGTGGGTCCTCAAATGGCTGGTCTATACAGCTGCCTATACCAACCATTAGCTGCACTGCATCACAAAAGAAAATGCCAAAAACTAATGACATGAGTTGTTTTCCACACAGTGCAGTGATTGGATTTTTACCGTCACCAGCTTTTCAAAACCCACAGGCGAGATGGGATTGAATAACATTTGTTTGGCTCTTTGTGCGTTACCTTCACAAAAGCTCCTCTGTAAATTGGTCACTTTGGTATTCTGACCTTAATGTCGTCTTTATATTGGATCTAGTGGCACACACCCTTAAAGCCCCTGCTTAGCTATAGGCCTCAGAATGCAAGCACTTGAATAAAATATTGCTTTTCACATTGTAAATTAGAGAGTCATGGCCTGAATTTTCAAATAAATAATGCTGACATGTGGTCTCCACCTACTTATGAATGTCAGTAATGACCAGAATCCGGGGCCAGATTGAAGCAACCACTCAGGAGATGCTGTATTGTGACACCCGTTTCTGTGATCTTCCTCTTACACAAGCCATAGGCTTTATTTAATCCTTTATGTTACTGTGAAAAAGAAAAAAAAATGAATAGGAGCTAAGACTAGGCCAGATGATCACAAATAGAAAAGGAAACTTGAGAATCGAGCACCCCGCGAAAAGCTTCAGCCAACTTCAGAATTTGTTTATTTGGAAGAAAAATAAGACAGCAGCATTTCCTCTAGGTATGTCCCCATGTTAAGCCATCCAAGAAATAGAAATAGAATCCCCACCTCCAATCTGCAGAGTCCCAGACTTATTTAATTCTGCAGAAAGTCATCCCCAAGTAGCTAAACTGTCTGGAGTCACAGTCATTCTCCCTTGCAGCTTCCAGACCTATGAAAGGGTTGCAGGTGCAGGCTTAGCAGTTTGTGGGGTTAGCAAAAGCTGACACGGGGCTTCCTCCCCGCCAGGCACTATTCCTTGTCCTTAAGTCTGTGTCACAGATGCAGAAACTGAAGGGCTGGGCGCTTGCCCAAAGCCACACAGAAGTAGTAGAGGCAGGACTTGAATCCAGGTAATCTGGCACCTGACTGCCCCTCCTCACCCTTCAGAGGTATTCAGAGACAAACTGGAGCCTGGGCGAGCCTCTAGCCCTTGGCCTGAGACCTGCAAGGATCTCATGTTTCCTCAGCAATACATTCAGGTCACTGTGTGGGTTGTTTTTATGAGGTGTGGTTCTTGCTATCTGTACTAAAGTCCACAATTTATTTGTTGTCTTCATGGCAATTGTGTTTAATCTTGTAGATTTTGGTGGGCTGACACAAGGAAGAAAGTGAAAAGTCCACAAGTAGGTGATGACGATGAAGGCTTTTTCATGCCTGGTTAGCCATACACCTTTCTTATACATGAAATGCCACTTCAAAAGCACCGGGAGAAATGGCATCACCCCTACCCTCCCACAATACAGTTTCTAACTGTTTTGCAAAAGAGAAAAGGGATCCTTTAAGGATTCGAGATGACCTTCCCTGCCTCTGTAAGAGTCAGGTGGAGGAGTATTCTCGATTTTAGCTGCACACCTCACTGGAAGACTAACAACCCAGCCCCAAGAGCATTTCAGGAGAAAGGACACCAGCACTTCTGCCGCCTGCAGCTCTGACTCTCCACTCCCGTGGCGTTCCCAGCGGCCCATTCCTGCTTCCAAACAGGCAGGCCCGGCCACGTAGCTCCAGTTAACATCTAAATTTCTATGTGACTATGGATGAGTTGCGTTTTGCAGCTGTGGATTCATGTGGGTTCCTGTTTCCAGTGTAAAGATATGGCCAAACTCCATCTTTTAAAAAAAGCCCTTCTTTATGGAATGTCTGGTTGGCATCTGTCTCTGAGGAATATATAATTTCACTGAAGAATGTTCTCATTTTTAGAAAAAAACAAAAGCCAAACAGCGGAGACTCATCTAAATTAAAAACACCAAGGCACACACAAAGTAGCTTTTCTCAGGAAAATGTTTCTTCCCCATTATTACCTACAAAATTCGCGCTTGCTCCATGATGACATTGAAATCCCCTGATTAAAGTGTTTATGTGATTCGGCTTCTATTCAAAGTAAAAGCCAGAGACTGAAGACTCCAATTAGGCTGTTTATTAAATGAGGAAAGAGAAGGACACATATCCACATGGGACTCTTACCTTTCCTCTTACCTAGGAATATGTCTCAAGAGAGAAAGAGCAGGTTCCAGAGAAGGTTCTGGTTGAAGTTATAGTTTTAATAAGGCTCTCTGAAGTCATGACCAAAGGTGGAAAGCAACACAGAAACCACGACTAATTGCCACCTTGCAGCCAGCACCTCCTGGCCTGGATGCCATCACCATTTCAGAGGCACTGCAGCTGTTGACAAGGGGCCCGGCCCCCACCCCCCCACCCCCATATTTCCCGCTCCCTTGCACACCCCTGCATCTCCTACCAAATGAGACACCTCCTGGCAACTCCAAAGAGTAGTCAGATGAGAGAAAGTCCATCATTCACTTGGCTGGAGAGTATTAACAGCCTTGAATTGCAGATAATTCCATGCGAATGTCCTAAAACTGTAGGGTCTTTGAGTTGGAAGGATCTTTGGTCTTATTTTCTAACCTCCCACTCACTCACTGCGATTTGCTTCTTAGAGCATCCCTCTCCCTCACAATTTGCTGAGCCACTGTTTATTAGAAGCTTCTCAACATGATGAGCTCTTCACATGGCAAGGCAATTTATTTTATTCTACAGACTAGAAAGGCCTTCCATATGATAAGCTAGGGGCTGATTCCTTCTAAACTGGCCCATCTGATCCTAGCCTTTTTCCCTGGTGAAGCACAGATATGGATTTCCTCATTCACTCAGTAGCCCTTTAGCTCTGACCTCCAGAACAGGAATCAGCACACTGCTGCTCCTGCTTTCATAAATAAAGTTTTATTGGATCAATAGCTATGCCCATCATTTCACAACAATGGCAGAGCTGAGTAAGTGAGAGAGAGAGACCTTATGGCCCATACATATACCTAAAATATTTATGATATGGCCCTATGCAGAAAATGTTTTCAGACCCTTGCTCAATCTAGAACAGTTTCTCAACTGTCAGTGGTCAATGACTGGTTTTCTTATTTTATTTTTTCCAGTCTGCCACAGACCAAGATACTTTTGTAAAATTCAATACAAATGAATTATTAGAAATATTAATTTTAACAAATTATAGAAAATACAGTCTTAATGTTTTATTGTTAGGCTCAACTGATACAAAGGTGCATACCGATAAATATAATCAAAACAAATATAACAAGAAATAATGATGCAGGATTTTTCTCAGCCCCACTTCGCCAGCCGGAAACTTCTGTGCCTGGCAGGGGCCTCTACTTCTTTGTTCCTGTCACCCCGCTCTGTGGCCTGTGGCTCCCTGACTGACCCAGCCCTGCCGCTGCTTCTTGGCACCAGCGACAGGAAGGCTACAGCTTACAGCCGCTTTCGACCCCACTTTCAGTGGTCTCAGGTTCTTGTCCCACATCAAAGAAGAATGAGGTTATGCTGACAATTAAAGAGTGAGGAGGGTAGAGAAGAATTGTATTGAGCGACACAGCAGCTCTCAGTGGAGAGGGGATGCAAGAGTGGTCCCGAAGTCAGGTGGTTTTCTCCCCTAGTGTGGCTGGGTCTGGGCTTTTATAGGCTCAGAATGGGG